TCAGAAACATTGACATCACTATGTAATACTCTTGAATTTTTACAGCACCTGTAAGATCTCAGAAAGCTTAGCAAGCACCACCTGAGTTACAACAGTTCTCGGACCTTACTCACTACATAATATTTTTTTTGTTTTTCAGGACATCTAAATAATCTTGTTAATATTACTCTTCTCTGATCTTACTAACAAAAAATTTGAAAAGTAAACTGTAGAAGTGCTAGATTAGGTGACTTCCCCAAGGTTAAAAAGCAAGTTTGCAGCAGACCTAAAAATAGTATCCTCAAAGACCGATTCCCTCTCAGAGCGCTAGACATCACAGACCGCAGCCTGATAGAGATACATCCCATGCATCAACACCGACAACTCACGCCTGTGTAAACACTGGCTGTTTGCTGAAGGCTTACAGTGGCATAACACACATCGTCTAGAGAAAACTGGAAATTCAGATAAATTTTTCTCCTCCCCTTTTGCAGAAGCAGCATCCAAGTATAACTTCAGTATTAAATCAAAGCGCAGCACATGTACATACGGTTGTGGTGTGCTTTTCTGTTCTTGTTACATAAAAGTGTGAATGAAAAGTTTCACGTAACAAGTGACAAATAAATGGTTTGGACTATCAATTTTATTGAAGTATGAACTGGTGGCTGGGATGAAGTTTTTCTGTGTACTGCACAAGAAATGAAAAACACTTCTTTCTTCTGTAAATACTGCTTCTGAAATCCCTTTAGAGCATTTTGAAATTCTGCCCCAAGTCTCTGCGACACTTTAAATCTAAAGTCCCTAAGTAATAATAGGAATTTTGCTTTTAAACTACTCATGAATGTTTCCCTACTATTTACCAATAAACATTTAAAAATAAAATATCTCTACTTAGTTCTTAGTCCTGCTGCATCCCTGGGTGCCATGTACGCAACCACAGCGGAATAGCTCTGTCTGGAGCCAGGAATACAGCCTCTCTTCTTAACAGGAGAGGAAAACCTTGTTTTGAATGATGATTACACTTTTCATTAATCAGTTAGTCATAACATTGGGAAACTTCTTTACAATCTGGATATATAAAACCCCTCCCACTTCTGTTTATCTTTACAGCAAAATTTTGTTCTGGAGACAACCGTTTTCATCTCACTATTATAAAACTTAAGTAGCATAAGCAACAATTCTTATTATTTACAGTTTTTTCAATGCATGCTGGTAAACCCCTGCTAGACAATTGTGCAAAATCGACAGAATAGAATTCACTTTGCCTTTATTGTATAAATTTGTGTTTCTTTCACATGACTGTCATTCACATTTGCCTTGTGTGGAATGCATGTTTTGGTAGCCCCCTTTGTTTTGGAATAGCAGGTATTTTACAATCTAACCTGTTGTTTGAATTAAACTTAAAATTTTGAAGTGGAGACCAAAAGACAGCTGTATTCTCTGTTTTGTGTTTTATTAGCCTATAAGCCTTACGACGTGTCTTGTGGCAAGGACAGAATGTTTGTACATAAACTGTAGCCTGCATCCTCTGAACTTCTGCACAGCTCAGAATTACTGCTGACCAGTTGTGCTATATCAGAGCCCTCAACTGCTCAGGGATTCCCTGAGCCTCCTCAATAGCAGGGGACTTCCAAATAAGAGGAGGTTGGCTCTTCACTAAGCTTCTGGGCAATTCAGCAAGGTCAGTGGGATGAAATACAACCACAACTGCGATGGCCAGAGAGGATGTAGTTCAATTCAGTGTGTCCTATCAGGCACAGGATCTACCTCCTTTAGCAATTTGTGCTATGACTCTCTCCCAGTGGTTCACAACCAGCTGTAGAGGCTACGCTGCACAAATATGAATTTGAATAAAGCCAGTCAATGACCATAACGTGCCTGTTAGCAGCGTCACCTTCTGTCTGTTCTGCCTCACACCACTGCCATCGACTCTTGGCATTTCACCCATAATGAGAGGTAGCACTGTGTAATCAGGTGACAAAGTACCACGAGGACACAGACTGGGCAGACAAAGAAGCAGCACTACATGCTACATTGCACTTCATGCCTTCCTTTTCCATCATGGATGGGACAGAAAAACAGCACTGCAGATGACAGAATCACAGAATGGCAAGGGTTGAAATGGATCTCCAGAGATCATCTAGTCCAACCCCTGACGGAGAAAGAATTTAGCACCTCCTGTCTCATAGCCCTACCCCACTACACCCATTTTCCTGTAACGTGGCTCCTCATGAGAAATGAGGCACAGAAGGGCGGCAGTACTGCTCCCATTCCCTGTCACCTTTGGCCTGCCTTATTACTTTGGGTACAATAATAAAATTACTCTTCTACTTGTGCTTGTCAGCATTGAAATCTCCATATGGAGTCTTTTCTGCAGTTCAACATTGAAAATTCTGTGCTACTTCTTTTATTTCAATTGAATTACATTATTTGTCTTCATGATCAAAACCCAGTGTTTTCTGTTCAGTAGGAGACAGGCATCTGTCGCTAACGTGCTGGTGATACTGGCCTGCCTGTCTACTGCTTGTAAAGGATGAATGTGATCACTTGAAAATCTTTCCCGATGTTGCCCCTAACAGAAGGGTTCCCCATTAAATGTTCACAGAGCTCATAATCCTCCTTCAAACACTCTTTATCAGATGCCATGAGAACTTCTTTCTGTGGTCACATCCCATATATAGTTTGGGGGAAGAGGTAAGTTTTGTGTTTGCAACTTACAAAGCGCATCTGCAGTCCATTAATGCTTTTACAAATAATAAAAACAAGGTCACCAAGGAGAGAAACTAGCAGGTTAACAGGTCAGTTTTGGTACAGAAGATACGAATCCCTGGTAAATTCAACATTACCCTCCTGTGACCTTTAAAGTTAAAGACAGGTATAGACATGCTGCTGGAGAATCGTGACAAGCTCCCTGTGGGAGAGAATGTATTCAAAATACATCTGTTAAGTGTTCAAGGAAAGGGAATGAAGGAATTGGAGATATCACAGTAAAAATAGGTCAGCATCTCAATAAGGACTGAATTTGGTTCGCTCGTTTTTGGGGCATTTAGTTAATTAAGGAACAGACAAATAGGATCTGCTCCAGAGACTGATGCTTACTTTGAAGCAGAAATGAAACAGTCTTAAAAGCACCTTCAGTGAAAAAGGTAAATGCTCCACTGGACTCCAAAGGATGTCTCACTGCCCTATTCAAGAGCATCTTTTACATCTTTGCCTGACTAAGCAAACTCATTTCTCCTTCAGTCAAAAAATGTTTTCACACCAATCTGTGGTGCAAGGAAGGATGAAGCAACAGAGCGTGATAAGATTGTGAATATCCATTTTCACATTTCAGACACTTCTTAAGCTCCCTGACCTATGAAACAGCAGGGTGACAGAGAAACCTGGTTATGTCCTGAAACTGGTAAGAGTCTGAGTTGTAAACAACATAATGTGTATGAACAACATAATTTCATACGAAATTCTTTGTATCTGCATTGTTCTCTGTGAGAAATTAAAGCACAGCCTGAAGAGAATGTAAAATGTAATAGTCTATCTTACAGTGTCAAACTGCAGCCATCTTCTACTTCCACCTCTGAATAAAAACCCAAAACATCTCAAGACACCAACCCCACTGACACCATACCCAAGAACAGTTAAAAGGTGAAAATGAAACATCAGTTTTTAAACAGCAGCTGGATATTCACTCCTAATACCTTGAACGTGCTGCTTCCACTGCAAGTGCAAGTAAGTTGCCTTCCCCGGTAGCAGCACACTGTGTTAGAGCAGCGAGACATTGCTGGGCTGCTGCTTGATCTCTACTGGCCTTCACCTGAAGTGGAGGAGAAAAATATTCAGTTAAAATAAACTACAAAGTGAACCGGGAAGTCGAGCATGTAAGACTTTCTGATTTCAAATATTAATTCCGGAGGCATGGAATTGTCAATATACGCTATATATTTCAAGAAGATTAGAAGAAAAAAGGCATCTCAGACCTTAAAACATGTGTACAAGTCCATAAAATAACTCTGAAACCATTTTATCTACATTTTTATTAATTATGAAAGTGGATGTTGATTTCTGGTTCCATAACCCTGTTCCTTAATAGCACTTGATAAGCTGCACCAAGCAGTCTGAGTGATTAAGTAATGTTACATACTTTTAGAGCAAAACATTCATAGCTATTTTCTATCTTCTTTTCAGAAAATGTAAAGTTCTCAATTTTGAAAGGTTAGACATACATTCATGAGACTATCTGAAATTCAGTGATTAAAACCAAATGAATGTAACAAAACCATTTGTGTTTGAATGCCAATACTGTGTTTCTTGGGATTTTCCATCAGCCTCCACTGAAGCTGAACAGAACTCTAGCCTCTCTGCTAACGACTAGAGTGGATTCTCAGAAATGTGTGTCAAGTTTCTGGCAAGCCACCTTTACTTATGTTGTATCTGCAATTACAGAGCTTTCATTTTTAAGAAGGCAGTTCCCACCTTATTAATCTTCTCGATCTGCTTGCTACGGACTGAAGTATTATCAATAGCCAGAACTTCGACTGTCTCCTCTTTTTCTAGCTGATGCTTGTTTACTCCAACAATTACTTCAGAACCTATTTCCAGTGGAAACACCAGAGACTCAGAATACATTTGCAAACTACTGTGAAAAGACACAATATTAATAGGACAAGAAAATTTGGAGCATTATAACACAGTGCTTTGCTTTATAATTATATACATTTCAAACACTTAAAATTTGTTCTTATAGGATGGACTTACATCTGTGTTTTTCATATGTTATGATGAGAGATGATTAGCTGCAAGAACATTCAACTCAGTGAATACTGGGCCAGAAAAAAAGATTTTAAATAGAACAACATTTATCTTACAAACTGATTTAGTAATGAGACACTAATACACATTAGTTATTTTTCTCTTTTTAAGTTTACATAACTGAACCTTACAGAATTAAGCAGAAGTACTAGTCTCCTGCACTGCTCTGTGTTTAGTTTTCTGATTTACCAGATAAATAAAAAACTGAAGTTCCTACCTAAAACTACTCCATGTGAATAAAAATTAATTTATCATGTTGGAAAACTGTATTTTAGCTTTCAGCCAGTATGGACTTAACAACCATTTTTATCTGCAGTGCCTGGTAACATTACTACACTCTTCAAAGCAACATGAAGTAATTTACCTCGGGAGAGAAAACACAGAACTTTTACTGATTATACTTTATCGGTCTTAAAGACCTGCTTCAAATTTATCCTCCAAATAAAAAAGTTCATGTAACTTCTTTCATGTTAGAGTTATTTCTAGTTCCTGTTACTGGACTGCTACTGGAATGCAGACTACAAAACATGGGATAGAGGTATAAGCACACATATATACATATCTCCCCATAGACTTACTATATGTGTACATGTGCGCGCATATATATATATATATATATGTGTGTGCGTGTGTGTGTGTGTGTCACAAAGTGCTGTATCCTTGTCTAATCTGAGATGACTGCATTTTTTCTGGTCTTTGGGAAAAATGGGCAGTTCTCAAGCAAAACCAGGAATTTGCCCAGATACATTCAATATCGCCATCTTCTGGCAGTCATGCTTTTAACTTCAGGAATGACAGTTTAAAGATACTAGCAGAAATTAGACAATTAACTACTGAAGGCCCAAAATACTCCTTTAAAACAGTCATTCTAGTGCTTTGTCTAATCCAGTCTTAAATATGTCAAGCAAGAATGTTTTCATACCAGTATTGTGTTTCATACATACTGCTATCTCTCTTTCCAGAAGTTTTCATTGACATAAAACTATTACCATTTTGTCACTCACAATATGCTACTCCTAAACTAAGAAGAAACAAAACAATGAAAAAGTGTGTAAAAAAACCTTTATACAAAGGTATTCTATTGGCACTTTTCCCTTCTTTCATCTCTCTGATCCCTACCAGAGTCAATCCTGGCTTGTCGTCGAGCTGCACACTCTTCGATACGAAGTTTGGGAATCCCCTCAGCAACAGCTTTGGCCATTCCACCCATTTCTTCTATCTCCTCAACAAGCTAAGAAATGAAGAGGATTGAGAAAGTGAGTAGTAGCAAGGTTCACAAAACAAACTTTGCACTTGTACTGCCACCCAAATTTTTGTTATACCTACCTATCCAATCCTGTGCTCTAAAAGCGTGTTTCCTACCTCCATGGCTCCAACCACAGGTTTGGGTATAAATTAAAGAGACATCTCAAACAAAAGAGCATTTTTATTACCATGAACTCAGTAACAATGCATGGCATATTGTTCAACCAGTAACACCTATGGATGAGAAGGCCTAAAATTCGAGACCTCTACGCTGACTTCTGCCTGCCAACCAGCCCTCGTAGTTACATGTATACAAACGCAAATAAATTGAAAGAAGTCAGGGTCAGTTCTCTGATCCTGAAGACAAGTGGCATGGCGTGGTTCTGCTCTCACATGTGTGTGCGTGTGTGTGTGTGTGTCACAAAGTGCTGTATCCTTGTCTAATCTGAGATGACTGCATTTTTTCTGGTCTTTGGGAAAAATGGGCAGTTCTCAAGCAAAACCAGGAATTTGCCCAGATACATTCAATATCGCCATCTTCTGGCAGTCATGCTTTTAACTTCAGGAATGACAGTTTAAAGATACTAGCAGAAATTAGACAATTAACTACTGAAGGCCCAAAATACTCCTTTAAAACAGTCATTCTAGTGCTTTGTCTAATCCAGTCTTAAATATGTCAAGCAAGACTGTTTTCATACCAGTATTGTGTTTCATACATACTGCTATCTCTCTTTCCAGAAGTTTTCATTGACATAAAACTATTACCATTTTGTCACTCACAATATGCTACTCCTAAACTAAGAAGAAACAAAACAATGAAAAAGTGTGTAAAAAAACCTTTATACAAAGGTATTCTATTGGCACTTTTCCCTTCTTTCATCTCTCTGATCCCTACCAGAGTCAATCCTGGCTTGTCGTCGAGCTGCACACTCTTCGATACGAAGTTTGGGAATCCCCTCAGCAACAGCTTTGGCCATTCCACCCATTTCTTCTATCTCCTCAACAAGCTAAGAAATGAAGAGGATTGAGAAAGTGAGTAGTAGCAAGGTTCACAAAACAAACTTTGCACTTGTACTGCCACCCAAATTTTTGTTATACCTACCTATCCAATCCTGTGCTCTAAAAGCGTGTTTCCTACCTCCATGGCTCCAACCACAGGTTTGGGTATAAATTAAAGAGACATCTCAAACAAAAGAGCATTTTTATTACCATGAACTCAGTAACAATGCATGGCATATTGTTCAACCAGTAACACCTATGGATGAGAAGGCCTAAAATTCGAGACCTCTACGCTGACTTCTGCCTGCCAACCAGCCCTCGTAGTTACATGTATACAAACGCAAATAAATTGAAAGAAGTCAGGGTCAGTTCTCTGATCCTGAAGACAAGTGGCATGGCGTGGTTCTGCTCTCACACAGCAGAAGCCTATTTAGCTCCAAAACATGGTGACCGCATTCAAACTGCCTACTGAAAATGGCCATCAGACTATGCCTGGCACTCTCTAGAAGCATCCTAGTTGACAAGGACCTAAAAATCAAGTCAACATGCTCACAGTGTCTGTACACTCCCAGGCTAGTGTTTGGGCCTGTATAAGCTTATTAATTTGGGACTTTGCATAAGCACAATAATTTGCTCAAAAGGAGAATCACTGGGTTTAGCAGTAGGCTAGACATGTAGGCATACATCTTTATGCAGGATTGACACCAGTAAGACTACTCCTGCACAGTACTTTACACATGCAAGTAATGACTGGCAGCTAAAAACATTATTAAAAAAAATATTCTGATCCAACAGAAAAATTTCTCCTAAATGCTGCATAATACTCAAGCACGGCCAGACTATTGTCTGCCTACATGCTTGGCTATAAAACTTTGCTTTCAGTAACCCCTAGTTTTAAAGTCTCAAGCAGATGACCACAAGCGAGAGTAGGCATGTAACTAAGTAGGTCAGTTTGACCTTTTCTTCTGTTGAAGTCTTTTTTTTCTTACACAAAAACCAGATAACCCAGCAAACTGGGAGTCTTCACTGTGCAAGGGACTTTGCAGGGTTTGATTATTTATTCCACACTGGGATATTTCCCTTTTAAATGTAGTCTACTAGAAGGCTGAAGTCTCTCTTTCTCTAAATATACACTGTATTTTTGTAAAGTTCATGTACAAAGAAATCACTGAAGCATAAGTGTAAAATAATTCCCTCTTTAGAAGTTACCAACACATCAAATAGTCCCTTAAAACACATTTCTCCAAACTCCTATACCTAAAATTTTCCCACAAAACATAAAAGGTTATGCAAACTGACCTTCAAAGCAGCTTCATAGACATCGTTGGTGAGGCACTCCATGAGGTAAGATCCCCCCCACGGGTCTGCCACTTTAGGAATACCTGACTCCTCTTGAATTATGATCTGCGTGTTCCGAGCAATGCGAGCACTCTTCACTGTAGGCAAACCCAAGGCTTCATCAAATGAGTTTGTATGCAAAGACTGTGTGCCTCCAAACACCGCAGCCATTGCTTCAATTGTAGTACGGATAACATTGTTAAAGGGATCCTGGAAGGACAAGGAGAGCTCTGAAGCTCAACGGTTCTGCCACGGGGCTGAGGCAGATTAGTCACACATATACTACTGCAATGAAATGAATGCAAGATTCCCAATCGAAACAGAGTAATCATAACAAAAGCTGAAAGTCAATAATAAACATCCAATTAAACTGATGTATCACTTATCAGTATCTTGGACAAAAAGATTAGAAAGAAAGCCAAAAATATCAGTGTACGAGTAACAAAGCAAAGCCTGACTTATATTTAGTGGTGTTTTGAAGAAGTTAATGAATCCAAGTTGGAGAGGATGGAACACGCAGTCCCAATGTCCTCCATCCTGGGATTCCAGAAGCCTTGGAGCAGCAAACAGCACATCTGGCAGACAGGTTACTAGTCAAGAAGTGTTTTGGAACTAAATGTGCTCAATATTTTCATTAATAGCAGCATTACACAAAGGTAGGAATTAATGTTGAAATTTGCTGGTGTTATAAACCTGAAAGATATCTATAAGAGAACTGGGATATTAACCAAAACAAATGGATAATCTGGAGTACAAGGTATAGAAATAGAGACAGCATTACAGAATATAATCTCAGCCTTTAGGTCAGAAGTTTTATCTGCCCTTTTCATACATCTAGATAGCTGAGTTGTATATACATGTGCCTTTACAGTTGAAGAGTTATCACGATCTACAGGGGTTGACTTGTGTTTTGAGACAGAGTGAAGATTCACCTGCTGCATGTGCCCATCTTATTTCATTTGATTATGAGGGAACTTAACAGTAGCTCAAGATTGCATATCTAATTCTTGACATGCTTAGCTGGGATGAAATGTATCCAAAATAATTAAGAGCTAACAATATAACATGCCCTTCAAGGAGGCAAAAGGAATCATGAGATCTGTGAATTAAATTACTTTCCACAAAGAAATTGAATTAATATCACTGTTTTACAAGGACACGGTAATTCTACCCGCACTGGAGTCTATTTCTTGTTCAAGTATTCCATTTAAAGAATAACAGAAAAATGTGATTTGAATGAGCAAGAATGTAAAACTGAATTTATGAGTAGATACCTACCTAAAGACAGGCCAAAGGAAAATGTATTTGCCCTCTAAAATCTATAAGGAGCCAACACTGGGCACTGAGGAGCTATATCAAGATAAACAGTGTTTAGACAGGAGGATTATGTTCTGGCCAGAAATGTATTTACACTGGACACCAGAAGATGGTTGAACATATTTTTGGTAATATTAATATTTTGCTCTCATACAGTACTTTTAATTGGAGGACCCGCAAAGGCTACAGTTCAAAAAAATCCATTGTTTTAGTTTTACTGCATTCCTGTAATGTAAGTAAACATTAAATTTGCTCTGAAAAAAAGCATAAAACCAAGACACGAAAGTCAAATAACAATGGTTGCAATCACAACCTAAAAAATAACTGATATTGCATGAAACTGAGCGACAGCAGGCCTTGGAATAAGAGCTCTGACCTCACTCAAGAAACTATATATGCAGTGCCATGATTTATTTTCTTGTTGTGAAGTAACTCAACAGGAAAAGGAGAAAGTGCACCCGGTTTCAAAAGAGCAGATGACCTGTAACCATTACTTCACTCTTCAGCAGTGAGAGACAGGGGCATGACGACTTCCTTGGATGCTCAAATGAATTCTCAAGCCAGAGATCTTGAGAAAAAGAAGCCTCTACTTCCATATTCAGCTGCACTCTGAAAGGATAACTTACAGGAAAAATCCAAGAGAGAACTTCATCCTCTGAGTCCTGAATTAATACAAGCACCTCTCTGCAATTCTCTCTACTTAGCAGGTTTGGATCTTATTCTCAATTCAGTATCCACTAGACTGAGAGAACACAGGCGTTAAGACAATGATTCCAGAATGCAAATGAAGCCAGACAAGGAAAAGTTAGGCACTGAGACTCTGCCTATCGCCATACTAGAATCCTTTTTGTGAATACAGTCTCAAGCTTTCCGTTTCTGCCCTTTTACCTGAGCACTACAGGGCAGTCCAGAATACTGAGGAATTTCATAAACTGGCATTTTGGAGGGTTTGCTGGGTGTGCCAATGCTGCTGGCACTCAACAAGACTTTTTGTGTTACGTAAGCAAGAAGATGTATCCAATGCTAGCGTAAGCATTTGTCAGGCTGAGAGTAAGACAGGCTGTCTCCGTCAGAAAGGTGCGTATTTATGAGTAAAACCCGTAGCTCCCTTTAAGATATACACCACGAGAACACATTGAAATGAAGAAGTTGATGACAGTCCAGTTTCTAACCTGCTCAGTGAGTGACCAGCCCGAAGTCTGACAATGAGCTCTCAGCAGAAGGGATTTGGGATCCTTGGGCTTAAACATTTTCTCTACCAAGTGAGCCCACAGCCGCCGCCCAGCTCTCAGCTTAGCTATTTCCATATAGAAGTTCATGCCAATTCCCCAGAAGAAGGAAAGCCTGTAATAAGAGCACATGAACAGGATAAAACATTAAAACATTCTAGTAACTCTGTTTCAGTAAAGGAGAAGTCCTACAGCAAGGTCTCTGATTAATTGACTTTTACGGATATAACCCAGACGTAAGATGATGGGAGTGTTCCTGGACACTGATGCCAGTTACTACAGAATGATACACATTCATGCCAGTAAGCTGTCTTAACCTCCAAACAAGGTGACTGCAGGCAAACTGCCAGCGACAATGGTCCCTAGAACCACTAACCTATCCCCAGGGACTGTTTTGGGGGAGGCCTAGGTCAAGCAGTGTTCCAGCAGGTCACTAATACAGTGACACTCTAGTGCCAGAGAATGTTCCTAGACATAATCTACTAGTGCAGTTATGCTCACAAACTACTTATAACAAAAAGACATTACAAATTATAAGCATGCTTTCATCCTTTTCCTGATGATTTTAATCAAAATCCAAATCAAATATCAGTTCAATACTGGATATCAGGGAACAGACCAACTGATCTACTTTTTCCTACTTACAGCTTTTATGATCTATAAATGTAAACATGCATAGTTAAAGCCAGTAAAACTCATTATACTAAAGATGTACTTTTAAAATGGTGAATTAGCTACTGAAACACATTTGCCAAAGGCTCTTACAGATTCTCCATCACTAGAAAGTTTGAAAACAAGGCTCTATCTTTTTCTACATGACCCACTTAGATTTTGCCACAGATCTTGGAAACAGGTTAATTGAGCTGACTCCTACAGTTTGAATGTGCAACAGGCTACGTGAACCATGCCCTTTGTTTTTTAGACTCACTGTATATTTAGGGACTCTGTAAATCAACTAGACCACTGAAACTGTGATTCTGCTTAGTTTGGAAGTAACTATACAAAAATACAATATTCTGCTTAAAATTAAATTTTATTTTTAGGAAATTTGAAGCTGTAAATCGAACTACCTGAACATCTTTCCCCAAATATTTCAAAATAACACTAATGAAAAAAAAAATTCAATAATACTACGGTCTAAAAGAACTGCGAGAGTTCTTGCTGCATTCTGCAATCCTAAGGCTACAATTGTGTTAGATATAACAGCTTAGGGATCTTCTTTCTGACCCAGAGACCAACTGTCACAACACACCCTGACAATGCTTGGTCTTACACATGAGCTTTATTCAGTTTATTGGTGCAGATGTAGTCTTAAGTGTCTTTGGACCAGATATTTTCCTACCGCTGAAACTGTGTAACAAAACCAAACCAAAACCTACCTGCAACATCAGCATTCCCGATACTGCTTGTATGTGTAAAAATACTGATTTTTATATTAAACTCTAGAGGTTTTACCAAAAGTGAGTTTTATACTTGCAAATTTCTTTAGCTCACCTTGGTGCAAATTCATCAATTGTAAGGCCAGCTTTAAGTCCAGTTCTGCAGTACTCCAAGCCATCTGCTATAGTATAAGCTAATTCCAGAATGGCATCAGCTCCTGCCTCTTGCATATGGTATCCGCTGATTGAAATGGAATTAAATTTTGGCATATGCTGCAAAAATAAAAGACAACACGGCACGACATTGCAGGGGGGTTGGACTAGATGATGTTTAACAGTTCCTTCCAACCCAAACCATTCCATGACAGCAGAAGAAGGAAGGATCAGATAATCGTTCTACTGACATTTATAAACAATCCGTTCTTTGTAGATTGCGAATACAACCCACCTCTATTAAATGGTGTTCGCAGATGTATACTTTACACGCTCTTACCTTTTTGCACTATTCATTGTGCTTGAACTCTCACCCACCATGGTAGGTCTCTCTCTCGATTACAGATTAGCTGTGTTCCACCTCTCCAATGAAAACACAGCTAAGGAAACAACTGGTAGAACTGAACTTCCCCTCATCAGTTCAGGACTTCACTCCTTTCATTATCTGCTTCTCATGCTCAATTTTACTGGAGAAATCCTTCAAAGTTTCTTACCTCTTCACTCCTGCTTACAGCTGTATAATGCTTCTTAAGCATGTGGCTTTTTACTATCTATGCAAAGAACAGCCTGTCTGTTCTTCATCTCCAACCTTCCTGCTGTCTTTTCAGTCTTGGGCTCATCTTAATCTGACTTTGATTTGGATTGACTTAAAAAACTTAACATTTATGCCATAAGTGATTTGGGATCTTAACTTTCCTCCTGGCCCTCTCCACAACCACATCAATCTTCTCTATGACAGGTTTTCCTGTTTTCTGCTTCGTTCTCCAAAGTGCTCCATAAATAGTTAACTAGCTATAATAACAGAAGTAAATACTTTTAAACAGTGAATACCTTTGAGGTGTACTGGAAGATGTCAGCAATAATCCGCATGGATGGTTCAGGGGGGAAAATGTACGTATTTCGGACCATGAACTCCTTCAAGATGTCATTTTGGATTGTCCCTGTCAGCTTGGCCTGAGGCACTCCCTGTTCTTCTCCAGTTACAATGAAGGTTGCCAACACGGGAATGACTGCCCCATTCATTGTCATAGAAACTGACATTTTCTCTAAAGGAATTCCATCAAAAAGGATTTTGGTGTCTTCCACTGTATCAATGGCAACTCCAGCCATTCCAACGTCTCCTCGAACTCGTGGATTGTCTGAATCATAACCACGATGGGTGGCTAAATCAAAAGCAACAGACAATCCCTGCTGGCCAGCTAAATGAAAAAAGAAAAAAAAAAAAACAAACAAGAAAACAACAGAAAGAGAGAGATTCAGAAGTGTTAAATAGATTTGCATTAGGACTAGAATGAAATGTATTAATTTTATTTTACATCATCCAGTCATCCAGGCTTGGATGACAAACCAATTTTTAACATTAAACACTGTTCCCTGCCCAAACTTGTCCAAGGTCTTCTAGTCTTAAACTTTAAATGAAAAAGCTTTAAAGTGAGAAAAAAATATCATAGTTCTTCTAGTTCAGCCACGCAATCAGCTTACCATGTTTAACAAATCGCTGCATAACAGTTTAGCCACAAGTTAGAAATGTGCGTAGACAGACAGTATCAGGGCTTATATACAGAAACTCTACTTAGCTTAGCTGGAAACAAGCGTGATAAACTACATCACAGCAGCTTCTCTTTATCACAAATTAAACACACACACACTGATTGTTATCCTGGCTCTACTGACATACATTGTTTATTCCTAAAGTGAAGTGATACATTACCAAATCTGCAGTAGGAGAAAGTTACTCATATAAAGGAGGGAACAGGACAGTTAGAGCTTGACAGACTTGCTGCTCTGCCCTGAAAGCGGTACCTGAAACTGTTAACCCAAGGCATTCACCCTCTGACCAGCACCGCTGTCCCTGAAGTGACTGCATCTACTGCATTTGCAAGTCTGCTGCTGCTCAGTATTGGCAGAGCTCTTAGATACCAGCTCTTGTCTTTGATCTAAAAAGCTAGCTGTTAGCTCTGAAGCACAATGACAAAAATGTAAATTTCTGCCTAGTTTCAAGCAACATAAATTTCAGCAATTATGAGAACTGATATTTAATTTCCAGCATTACTCTAACTACAGAGAGGTTTTAATTATTAAAAATGCTTTACAAATAGGTCAGATTCAGAAGCTATGCTAAACAATTCAGTATTAATTCAACCATTAACACAACAACAGAGATAAAATTACAGTATCGCTATGTCAAAACTCAAAGATGAAAATTCCCTGGCAGCAAACATTCTTGAGTAACTGAGCTGTGCTACCAGCTAACCCAAGTATTATCGGCAGCAATGTTCAGTCATAAGATAGAGCATATTCAGAACAATCTTTCTATTGAAATGTTTGTTTGCAAACCTCTAATACCCTGTATTTATAATTTCTTAATTTACTGAGAGTTTTATAAACTGAAAGAATCAAGAATACTTGCAAGAATACTGCAGCAGCTAATATTGTGTCATATTAGCTAACCATGATGTGGCAAGAGGTAAAAACCCCCAAACAACTCTTCTCCCCTGCCCTAAACAGTAATGTTTTGAGTAGGAAAGCCTGTAAATTAGGAAATAAAAGCATCACTGATTACTCAAAAGGCAAATTTCAGTGGTCTGTTGTTTTGACTGGTAAGGTTATAGTTAGCTTCTAACAATTGCTAAGACGTACAGCTGGTGTAAAACTAATGCTCCAGTATACCAAGAACTTTAGCAGTGTTTTTACAATGCCTAACTCAATAGTATGTTATGATGATGCTCTGGCTATTAGCTAATCAAATTGCTGCTAAGCACAATCAGCTGCAGAAATATTGGGAAAACTGCTCTCAAATAAGGAAAATACCAATATTTTTAGGAAGCTGACTTTACTAGTACACCATGAATGACACTATTGATATATATTTATATGAGTTCATTTTAAATTTACAACATGAGATAGAAACCCAAAATATCAGAATGCACTAACACCAGAAGCACCAAGTGACAAAATTAAACAGATTTTTCCACTATAATCTTCTCTCATGGTCACAAAATGTGTAAAGTGCTCCATGATCTCTGCTGCTTGGACCCTGGGATGCAGCCAAATTTTGTCTCTGCCAGTGTCAAGGCAGAATAACTAAAAATATAGCATTTAACGCACTCATTTTTCCACCTCAATAGCAAAAAGAAGCAAGGATGGTTTCAGAAATGATCCAATTTCCCCGTACTGAAGAAATACTGCACCAGTGGGAAAAGCCTATCAGAAATCAAAACTCAAAAGTCGGAATTATCACATTTGCCGTGTAGTTCACCATATGAATATTCCCTATCGCTTTGCAAGGCAATGTTGTTTCCTAAATCAGCTGTCTCACCTTTAATGTTGTCCTTGTAGAACTTGTTGCTCTCCTCCACCGTACTGAAGCCAGCATATTGGCGGATAGTCCATGGCCTGTACGTGTACATGGTTGGGTAGGGTCCTCGAGTGAAAGGTTTCACCCCTGGCAGCTCCTCAGGGAGGTCTTTTGTGTCCCTTTTGGAGTACAAGGGCTTGATGTTGATCCCCTCTGGGGTGTGCCAAATTAAATCCTTTGGATTCTTGCCCTTCAGCTGCTTTTCAGCGAGGGCAGCCCACTCGGGGTGCAGCGGCTGCCCGTGCAGCGAACGCCATGCGAGCCTGCCAGCTGGAAGTTGTGCCAGGCATGCGCAGCGACAGGGCCGCAGGCGCAGGAGAGCATCCTTGGCTCTTAGCATGTCTGCCCCCCTGGTTGGTGAGTACGGGGTAAGCTGTAGAAAATAAAAACACGTATTTTGCATTATTGTATACATCTGACACGGGAGAAGGGAGCATGAAAAGGTCAAGCAGTTTGCTAAAGCCAAAACAATTACTTGGGAAAAGACATAAGTGTATTTATTCACTTCGTCATTTAACAGACAACCCCTCCCCTAGCCTTTCAACCAGACAATGCATAAAACAGAGTTCAAGAAAAATCCTACATTTTCCTCTAGCTAAGGAAAACATTCCTACAATTCATCTACATCCACGTATTAAATGAGTAGCTGATTTCAGCAGCACCATCATTTATACCTCACTGAAAAGTCAGTGTTATGCATGAAGATGGTGTGCCTAGCTACCTTCTCACCTTCCCATCTCCCTCTTATCTATGAATTCCTTTATGTCAAAGAGAAGCCTTCAGCATCAAAGAGACACTCTGAAGGAAGTGGACTGTCAGAAAACTGCCGCCATGTCCTACACTTTGGAAAAGGTGGCTTGGGCTGGATGAAAATCAGAGCTATACTAAGAAAGAAAGGAGCAAAAAAATGTGGTATGCAAGAACACAGGGATAATACAAGTTGCAGAGCTCGTCTCACCATGGATGAGAGTGAGATGGTGGATGAGTTCCTCTGTTTCAGCTCTCTGTACCCTATCCCTGCTCTTCCCTCCCAAGCCAAAACCTTTACAGCTTGGCTCCAAGGGCAAATCACCTCCTCTCTGCCTCTCTGCCAAAACATTCTAAGATTCTATGATTCATCTCCTTCACAACTCCCTGGAAATACACACTTCCCTGACACCTTTATGAGAAAGCCTGCATAAAACTGGAAAGCATCTCTATCACTGTTACAGTGCTGCAGCAACACGCTCCACACAAGCGCTTTAGTAGAATCATAGAATGTTTTGGGTTGGAAGGGACCCCTAGAGGTCATCCAGTCCAACCCCCCTGCAGGGAGCAGGGACACCTTTAACCACATCAGGTTGCTCAGAGCCCCATCCAACCTGGCCTTGAATGTTCCCAGGGATGGGGCCTCCACCACCTCTCTGGGCAACCTGTTCCAGTGTTTCACCACCCTCAGTGTAAAGAATTTCTTCCTTATAT